CACAACTTTTAGAAATGAGACCAGTCCAAACCTATTTATGTTTCAGACGAAACCAAAATTCAGATGCTAGAATGCTGAACTCAATGCACTTTCAGGAACAAATTAATTTATGAGAAACTCCAATATTGCGCATTGCCTGCGCCAACAAGTAACGTACGTCAATGTCAACTAATGGCGCACATACAGTGTTGACGGCTGGTGACTATTGCCTGTCTTCATGCGTCGGCCATCTGACTATCTAAGTAAGCAGATAGGATTTTCAGGATTTTCATCCGTTTCTTCTCTCGCTAGCGTCATCCATGATGTTTGTATTGAACTGCGGCGGCGACGCTTGCGAGGTCCAGATCTAGTAATCGTAACCAGATAAGGATTTAGCTGATTCAACCATGCAACAAACACGTCAGCTTTGGACGGTGGCTTCCCTCGAATGCCTTTTGCTTTGCGAGGGATCCATTCCCGAGTTCTGTACATTAGTCGTTCTCTTCTCATTTATGACAAGCCCATCGATGTTTTGCTTTAGAGACGTTTTCGCTGGATCACGAGACGAAACATCAGATCTCATATCTGAGCTGCGATCCGACAAGATGTTGAGTGCGTCGGTTTCCTTCAAAAGACGTCATCCCAGAGCTCTATGGGTTGTTGGAAGAACCTTTGACGTAGCCACAGTGTCAGGCCACGTCTCTACTGCGTAACAGAGCGCAGTGAGTACCGTTGAATCGAACATCAAGTGGGCTCGGAGCTCTGGGTCCATCAGCTGGTCTGTGGCTTCATTTAGGGACCAAAGGCGGCCCAAGCTTCGATTTGGTTCTTCTTTCAGTCTTTCTCATCATCATACGCCTGATGCGTAAGAAGACGTCTTCTCGACTGGATCTTCCCTCCTGATCATCGCAAAAAGCGCTCTTTATGAACTTAGTCTTCCTTCGCAATTCACAATTCTTTCCGCTTCCCTACTTCGTTCAGTTCTTTTAACATCATCTGTGCTTCATATTCTCGTGATTGGTATAAAGTACATAGGATACACCCGAGAAGAGAAATGTCGACGCAAAACGAAGTTCTCTATACGAGTTAATGATTGAGTTGAAAGGATTCTCCTATCAACTTGTATACCTTTCTCGTTCCGATCCGGTGATTTCATTACCCACTACCGGCGGCTGTAGGTAACATTGGCGACGGGGTGTCGCCATATCGAACCCTCCTTTGCTATTAGTATTTTGGGGGCGATGGAAAAGCCGTACCGTTGTAGAGCAGTTCG